GGCAACAGTTACTTACTATGGCAATAGTTACTATGGCAATAGTTACTATGGCAATAGTTACCATAGCAAAAGTTACTAGGGCAACAGTTACTTACTATGGCAAAAGTTACCATGGCAATAGTTACGATGGCAACAGTTGATTTCCGTACCAACCGTTTCCATATAGCAACCATAGTAATTCACAAATAATGTAATTATAAATTATGTATTATATTCAAATAACTTTTGATCTAAATTTAAAAAGCCATGAAACCCCCTATAGATGTAGAGGCGCTTTGCGACTGCTTTTTTTCCTGATTTTTGATTTTATTGGAGGGTTCTGAAAGAACTATATGATTGATAGGAATTTTGTTATTGAGAACAAATAATCTCAGAATTCCTTAAAAATTTGAAACCAATTCTTTAATTTTCCAAAATCGGGAAAGAGGCATAAAATCTATTGAATCGAAACTGAAACCAATATATTTCGGGAAAGGACATGAATCCAAATTAAATATAAAACGATGAGCCATTGAAAAATATTCGTTCACATCGTTGTTATCTGTTATAGGTGAGAGTAGTATAGGAAAAAGAAAAAAAATATATCCACGAACGGATTTGGAGCCTCTCGGCTGATGGTTATTAAAGGTTCGCATAGTCTTTGGTTGCACGCATCGGTCCAGTGATAGCCCCAGGGACCCAAAGGGATATATATATATATACACCTCAGGAACTTTTAACATTGGTGGCCGCCCCCAACTCATGGGAACTTCCTCGGGGCTAAAAAGCAGTTTCTGCTCGGTTCGCTCTTTGCAAGCCCTCGATTTAGAGACACGACCGCCGCCGCCACCACTATGATGCCCGTTGCACACGAGCCATACTCAATTCTCTTTGGGTAGGCGGCAATTTTGCGGGAATGTGGCGCGAGAGAAAGAAGAACAACGACTTCTGATGCTTGCCCTGTGAAAAAAATATCTCCTCCACAGACTTTGGGATTCGTTCTTAAAATCGCGTAGTTCAAAATGCATTCATTTTGTGTGAGAGGGATAAACGAAAAAAAAAATTATTTGTGATTTTGATCATTATATTCATGCGGTGTGCTAATGTGTGGAATCAGCGCGTTGATGTATCATTTTGTTTTAAGTAATTTGAATTTTATTTTAATAAAATGCAAATTTGATGAATAATTTTTATTTTTAAATTGCTTTTTTGCCAGCTATAACAAACTTTAGCTATGTAGGTTTTACTTCTACCAAAACATACAAAATACTAATTAAGACAGAATCAATGAAGTTTTGATCTCTAGAGTACGGTATATTTCATATAGCCTGTACCGGATGTTTCTCTTCGTATATTGTATAAGTAAAACAAATTAATTAATTTACACATTAAAGTAATTAATTTAAATATTAATTATAATTAAAAGTAAAATAACAAAAATTTTATAAAGATAAGGAAAAATATACAGTTCAAAACTGTGCAGAACGTTAAGAAATAAAAAAAGTTTCTTTTTTCTTCCCAGAGGTACAATTACTTTGAGAAATTTTTTTTTTCTTCTTTTTTTCCGTGAAGATTGAAGGATTACTTAAAAGGCGGAAAGTTTTTTTCGCTCTCTCGAAGACCTTTGTGTCTTTGCCTGGCGGCAGTGTAAGTGGTTTCTCTCTCTCTCTCTCTTTCTTTATATGTATATATAGATACTGAGAAGTGGAGTAGCGTAGGTGAAAGGGTAACTCGCTGCTTCACTCGTTTACGAACGTTGTGCGACGAACACACGAGCAGAATGATCAGGAGTACATACGATAGCGAAAGGCGTCACGTCGTCAAATTCTCCTTTCCTTTAAATAAGAAATAATATAGTTCCTTGAAACTTATTATTTTCATCTGTATGAATATTTTTTTTTTCTATTTTAAAAAGAATGTAATTTACTCAAATTACAATTCACATAATTTCAAATATATATAACAAAAAGAGTAGATTTTTTTTTTTTTAAATGAAAGAAAAAGAAGGGAAAATGTAAGAAAACAAAAATTTGTTCGATGAATTTCACACTATATGTAATAAGAAAAAAAAATTGTAAGACAAAAATTGTATTTGTAAGTGGAACAAAATTGTTCACGGAATACAATTTTTAAGTAGTAAAAACGTAAAGTACATTTCACCTACGTTTCAATAATTTAAGGTAGTTTTTTCAAAAATAGGGTTTCCATTTTTATTAAAACTACTAATAAAAATCATTAGCTAAAATTTTCATTTGATAGAATTTCTTTTTAGACAAATTTTCAAATTATCATTTGAGTTACTTTCTTTGTAAACGAAATCTTGTTTAACATAATTTTTATTTTACCAAATTTTTTTTATCCAACTTTAAATTTAAAAAAATTATTATTTAAACCAATTTTAATTAGTTGAATTCTCATTCAACAGAATTTTAATGAATCAAAATTATTTAATGCTATTTGTAATTTCTGTCTTTCGCTATTTTAGAAATTCTATAAAATAACAATTGGTGTAAATAAAAATTCGCTGAAGATTTGATAAATTAAAAATTTTGATATTAAACAATTCGAATCATTAAAATTCTGTTGAATGAGATTTTTGATAAATTAAAATTGATTTAAATTATAATTCTTTTAAATTTTAAAGTTAAATAAAAAGAGATTTTGGTAAAATAAAAATTATGTTAAATGAAATTTCGTTTACAAAGAAAGTAACTCAAATGCTAATTTGGAAAATTCTTCAAAAAAGAAATTCTGTCGAATGAAAATTCTAGCTTAATGATTTTTATGAAATAATGAGGATATTTATTGTAAATATCGTTATTTTCAATATTATTTATAGATTTTACAAGTAAAAAAATTAATATTTTCAAAAGACGATTTTTTAACTTGTTTTTTTCTCGGTATAAAATTCGTAAACGCTTGAATTTTATCGCGAAAGTCACAATCTTTCGAGTATATATATATAAAGAACGAGCGTTGTATGTATAAAATCTTCACACAGACAGCGAGAATCTTTTTCCGCCTTAAAGATAGGCAACCCTCTCGACATTGTTAGGAACGTTAGACGCAAGGAATATTAGGTATGCCCGTAAAATCATTGGACTGCAGCACTGAATTCAGTTGCTATTTCGTGATGATTGGGATATCAGAAATTGTTAGGAGTATAAGAAGTGAATATTTTGCCGCGGTGAGACCGCCCGTCGAACAGTCAAGTATCCGATGAACATAATCCTAAGAAGTGATTGTGTATGTGTGTGTGATGTTGCGCGCGCGCTCTCAAGCCAACAACTTGTCATTTATACGCTCCTCATCAGTTGTGATTAACTAAGGTTTAATCAGCTTTACCAAGCTAAACTTCTTTTGTCAACATGCACGGTGCATGATAATCCGAGGCTATCTTCTCAGGTTCCAGACAGGACCATAGAAATATATTTTTTCTCTCTTTTTATTTTTCCATCTCTCTCTCTCTGTCTCACTGATTCATCCTTTGCTTTTTGATCCGCGACGAGTAGATCGACTTTCTCTCTCTCTCTCTCTCTCTTCGTATTTTGCACTTTTGTATCTAACCGCGACGTGGCGCCGTCATTCAGTCTCGCGAGAATAGCGGATATTCAATATAAGCGGTAAATTTGACATTTTATTTTAAATTTCTCTTTCACTCGACTTTTATTTATCATGTAACAAGAGATTAGTTTCCAACTAGAGGTAGACTGTATTTGTTGTTTCGTATATACCATTGGAGAGGGGGAAAGGCCAATACAGAAAAGTAAATTTTTTTTTAAACTTGCAATATTGGAGTTAAAAAATTTTTTTTTTCTAAACTATTATTAAATAAAAATAATTTTATAAAAAATATATAATTTTATTAAACGGGCCTAAGCTCTTTTATACTTTAGCGCCCATTTGAAAACAATAAATAATACTTTAAAAAATAAGAAAAATTTCTTTTAATTAAAATATATTATTGAATGACAATTTACTTTTTAATTTAGAAAAAAAATAGTAAACAAGGTATCTAGTTTTACAAAATTTTACACTCTGACTGCGACACTCTCTGGAATAAACATGAAGAACAAAAATATTGAAGAAAATTATTCGCGTTCTGAAAAGGACCTTAAATAACAAAACAGAAATTTATTTTAGAAAAAATTACAATTTTTCATACAGATATATTATTATTGTTATTTTTTTATTTATATTAATAATTTATTATAATCGTAAAAAAATGTAAATCATTTTTATTATTAAAAAAATTATTATTGTAAATAAAGAAAAATGTTATGAATAGAAAAATAAATAGATCGAAAATACAGAGAGAAAAAAAAAACATGAATGAAATTGAAAGTAGAATAGGAAAATATGGTTTTATAAGTGAATAAGGAGACATGAGAGAGAGAGATAAGAGAGAAAATGAATGTTATGTTTCGTGATTGTTCTGCTATCCTGTTATAAGGTCGCACCGCCGCAGCGCCACGCGTCACGGCGAGCACCACCGCAACGCTCGGCGTCCGTACGACGACAACAACAACAATAACTATACAAAAAAAAAATGTGAGACAAACAAAATCGTTCTCCCTCTTGTCCCCTTTTTTTTTTTTTTAGAATTATAGCACAGTTTCCGCGTGGTCTGCGAATTACGCAAAACTCACGAGACGATATAATGATAACAGTACGAATCACTTTTTTTTCAATGCGCGCGCAGAATTTCAAATCTTTTTTCTTTTTTACCATTAGTTTTTATATGACAGAGACATCTGGTGTATATTCCGTGAAACATTTAAACGTATTTGTCGATAAGTATTTTTATTATCAGACGAGAAAATTATTATCCACTGCTGATAAAGTAGAATTCTGTTTTATGAAAAGAACAACCACGTGTTCGTGAAGTCATTTAATTTTTAAATGAATATATCCAAATAAAAATGAACAAACCAGTGAGATATAAAACAATTTCACATTTAAGTGGAAAAATTATTATTACATTTTTCTTTAAAAATTCATTGTATTTTTTTTTTTTGCAGGTGTTGGAGGTCACTACATGAGCGTCGGTATCGATACATTTTTGAAAAGTGCATTCCCGCGTCAATTTCGTCGTTAAGACCACGTGTTCGCGACGTTATTTTATTTCAATATTTTTACATAAGTAAATTTTTATCTATCGGGAGTGCTCGTATTTCTTAAACCCGCGATCGAGTGATATGTTAATTTTTTTAAAAAATGTACTTTTGAGTTAATTTTAATTAAAATAATTTTTTATCGGGAGTATTGGTAATTATTTAAAACCGCGATCGTTTAATTAGAAAAAAAGAAGTTTTAATTATTAAACACGTGGTTCGGGAGTGTCCAAAAAATTTTTAAATCGCGAGTGAGTATTTTTTTTTTGTGCCAATTTCTGGAAAACATCGTTCGAGTGCCGCTTCGGGATGAAGATCGGGCATGGGCGAAGGGTGTCCACGGTAAGATATATATATTTTTTTATTTTCTAATTATAATAATTAAGGAAAAAAAAATCAGCAAGAGAAGCAGGCGCAAAGCGACTTCATCTAGGGTTTCATAACATTGAAAATTCAGGACAAAATATAATAAAAAATAGTTTTTGTTTTTACTATGGCAACAGTTGTCATGGAAACGATTACTATGGAAACAGTTGCCATAGTAACAGTAGCTAAGGAAAGGGTTACTATGGAAACAGTAGCCATAGTAACGGTAGCTAAGGAAACGGTTACTATGGAAACAGTTGCCGTAGTAACGGTAGCTTAAGAAAGGTTACTATGGAAACAGTTGCCATAGTAACGGATGCTAAGGAAAAGGTTACTTAAGTAACGGTTATTATAGAAACAGTTGCTAAGGAAACAGATACTATGGAAACGGTTACTATGGAAACAGTTGCTATGGTAACGGTTCCTATGGAAACAGTTACTATGGTAACGGTTACTATGGAAACAGTTGCCATAGTAAAGGTATAAGAAAACGGTTATTACTATGGAAACGGTTGCTAAGGAAACGGTTACTATGGAAAGTTGCTATGGTAACGGTGACTATGGAAACAGTTGCCATAGTAAAGGTAGCTAAGAAAACGGTTATTACTATGGAAACGGTTGCTAAGGAAACGATTATTACTATGGAAACGGTTGCTAAGGAAACGGTTACTATGGTAACTGTTAGTATGGAAACGGCTGCTGTGGAAACAATTAGTTACTATGGCAAAAGTTACTGTGGCAAAAGTTACTATGGATACAGTTACTATGGCAAAAGTTACTATGGAAACATTTAGTTACTATGGCAATAGTTACTATGGAAACGGTTACTATGGAAACAGTTGCTATGGTAACGGTTACTATGGAAACAGTTGCTATGGTAATGGTTACTATGGAAACATTTGCTATAGTAGCGGTTGTCATAGAAACGGTTGCTATGCTAACTGCTGCCATGTTACCATGGCAACCGTTCAAGTGTATGACGAACGGATGGACGGACGCCAAAGTGAAACTGTAAGGCTTTTGGGCCTGGGCCACGAAACCCTAAAAAACAGTATGAAGATTATTAAACATCCTTTTTATTTATTTATTTAAAAAAAAAAAATATTTTGACTTTTTTATATTTCAGACTGAAGGACAGGAAGGAGGATGCAGAGAAAGCATGGCCCCTGCATAGTTTCCCGGTCTCCCCGTATCGAAGAGGGGCCACTGGGGAACTGGTCCAGAAGAGGCGATGCTGCCATCGCTCCGTCGAGGGAATTCGCGATCGGTGAGTCGAATTTTTTTCTACGAATGTATAGCGACACAACCTGAAATATTTAATTTCTCAAATATACCTTCTATTTTAAAAATTAATTACGGTATTGAAAATTATTTATTTCAGATGAACATGTTTTGATTTACGCCTCCCTCCCTTTCTTTTCATTTAATTGATTTTGAATTTTAAACATTATTTAATTCTTTACATTTGTTTAGAAATTTTTTTTTTATCAAACATAATTTCTAAATTATATTTTGTATTATGCATTATTTAATTCTTTTTGGAAATTGAAAAAGTGAATTAAATTTTTTTGCATTTAAAAAAAATTTCATATGCATTAAGATAGATTTAAAATTGAATTTAAATAATTATTACATTCATCCTTGTCTGATTGTTATTTGGTGAAGGTTTAAGCTCAGGTGACGGATGTGTCCCGGGACGTAATCCCTAGTGTAGGTCTATTTGCACCTGGGTAGTATGTGTGAGTGCCATATACGTCAGGTATTCGCGACTTTTAAAAATCGCTAGAAATGACGTTATTTTCATGAATGTGGTGTAAAAATTTTTTTAAATATAGGTATAGGTAGGAAATTTTTTTTTTTTGTGTGCGAACGGTTTTAGTTATAAGAATTTTGCATGATATACATGTGTCGCTATCGTCTTTTTCTCTTGTAAAAAATATTTATATTTATTTGGAAAAAAACAAAATTTTTTAACAAATTAACTAAAATTATTGTTTGCTGTTTAATAATTTTTCTTTCAGGAAGATCATCGTGGTAAGAAAGTTTTTTTTTTCTATTTCTCACATTTACAATTTTTTGTATAATTAATTTCTTTTTTTAGGTTTTTATTAACAACATTTTTTTCTATTTCAGATGAATACTAACGAAAATTTTATTTTTTGTAATAAAAAATCCAATTTACTTAAAAATAGATAATTTATTTAAATATTTAACTTATAAATGTGTGAACAGGACATCGGAAGAAAATTGTTTTTATTTTCACATATTTTTTTTTTTTTTTTTTTTGAAAATTAAAAATCTCTCTTTTTCTATTTTTTATTATACACATATTTTTCACGGAAACATAAACATTTTTAAATTTACGTTTTATACAAAAATTGCTTATTATTTATTTTCAATATTAGCTAATTATCATTGTTGGTACTAATTGTAAACATATCACAACTTTGGTTTTGTTTCAGTTTTCACGATGTTACTGACGTGCAAGCTTAACATAAAGTTATTTAAATTACTATTACTATAATATTAGTTAATAATTTTTAATTACATACTTTAAAATTATTTCGTATTAATTTATTCAAAATGTTGAAATATTTTTTTTTTCTTAAAGAAAAAGTCACTAATGACTTTTTAGTTAAAAATTTGTCAAGAAAAAATCAAACTCTTTTTTTTGTTTGTTTAAAAAAAATAATTAAGAAATTTTTTCTAATGTACGTTTAATTGATTTACTGTAAATTTACAATTAACTATTGCTGTAAATTTATTTAATTAGCTAATTAATTGTAAACTTACTTTCAATTAATTATAAATTTAATTCGAATTAATTTTAAATTTACTTTCAATTAATTTATTTATAATTTATACAACAGTTACAACATTTATCGAGTTTGATTATAAATTCTCGCATAAAAGTCACAAATCAGTATTTCCAGACGAACTATACATCAAATAGTTTTGCTAATAATACTATGTATTTACGTGATCATTTTTTGTCATCAGATCACTTTTCTTTATTGGATTATATTTTAAAAAAAACATAAAATTCCAAAAGAAAGTTCAAAAATAATTTATCAAAAAAAGTTTTTTCTTTTAAATAATTGATCATAAAAGAAAAAAATTTTTTTTCTTATTATTTGTCACTATAACTTTTAAAATTGAAAAAAAATTGTTTAATTAAATTATTATAAATATTTTAAAAAAATTTATGAAAAAAATATAAATATAAAAATTTGATATGCAAATCGTATATGATTTTTATCATTAATATTAAAACAAACATTGTATGTACTTTGAACTTTCCATGCGAGTTTTATGCCTAAAATAACATTTTCTTTAAGTGCTGATGCAGCACTAAATTTACAATTTAATTTAGAACACTTCAAGAAATATTGAAAATTTATTTATTTTTATTATCTTGAATTATAATTTTTTTTTTGCAGTATTTTCTTTCGTTAAAAAGAAAACAATATATAATTATCAACATTTATGTCAAATTTTCTTTAAGTGTTCTAATTTATTTTAATTATATTAATATTATCACAGTAAATTATTTTTTTAAATTCACTGTCTTTGTACAGAATTGACTTACACTAGAAAGAAAATAATAATAAAAGAAAATATTTTTTATAAAACAGTACGATTATTTTTTTTAAAGCGAATTTTCCATAGAAATAATATTCAAACTTTAAAAAATTGGATAAAAATTGTATTAGTCTATTTTTAAAATATTTTTATAACAATGTTTTATATAAAAAATTGTTGAATCAATTTTAAAAAAATTTGCTTTAAAAAAAAAAAAAAATATGATGGTCATGATTTCTGCGTATTTCTATTTTTGTCTACTGTGAAATACTATAGCGAAAAAAATCATCTTTTCGTGTCATATATTAATTTAATTTAAAAATGAACACCTTTTTATCTACTTTCTCCGATTTAATTTTTTCATCGTTTTTTTTTTAATTAGTCAAGTCATATTAATTAATTTAATTAATTAGTCAATATGATGTTCTTTTATTGTGTTTCAAAAAGAAAAAATTAATATTTTCTTTTTAAAAAAAAATTTAATCATAAAATCCCTAAAAATTTATTCTATCACACATTATTTTGATTTTTAAGAGGAAATGTTTCTTCATTATCATTTTCAATTTCTAATTTTGGCTTCTTTTTCTCCATTTCCTCTTCCTCGGGATTATTCCATTTTTGTAAATTGCCCGTACCAAAAATTGCAAATGCAATTGCACCAATTATATAAGTTGCCGATAGAATATAAAAAATAATTCGCCACTGTGCAAATGTACCAGATTTTTCATTTGTTATAATTCCCACCATATATGTACTGAGAAAACCACCCAATGAACTGAGAGTATTTGCAATACCAAATATTGTTCCAGAAAAATTTGGTGCAATATCGAGACCATTTCCAAGATAACCGGCAGTCACTGCTCCATTTAATGTCAAGGCTAATGTGAAAATAGTCACAGATGTCACTCGATCATTTCCCAAATTTGCTTGAAGTATCATCAAAAGACCAGGGCTCATTACGGCTAAAATAGAAAAAAAAACAACAAATTTTTAACCCAATTTTGATATATATATATATATTTTTTAGGGGATTTCAAAATTTGTAAAAAGGGTAATACAAAAATATATGGTCACCGAATTTTTATTTGTACAAAAATTGTTATTTGATAGTTTACGAAAACGTCGAACTTCCATTTGACCGAAATTCCAAGTGGCCGAATAAACAACCGACATAAAAATTTCGTTGTGAATTTTAAAATTGACCGAAACACAAATTTTTTTGATAATTTTTGACCGGTTAATTTTGAAAATTAACTCCAAAATCTTTTTGTAGGTTTTTTCTTTGACCATTTGCAATTTCGGACAAAAAAAAGTTCAAAGTTTTAAGAATTCAATCAAATAAAAATTCGGTGAATTGTAAATTCTGGCATTTAAAATAAAAATAAAATTCGAATAGCTTAAAATTCTGTTTTGGGAAAACTTTAAAAAACTTTTTTCAAAAAAATTCAGGAAAATCTTTTCTTACAATTTAATTAATAATAAAACATCACTGAAAAAAAAAATTAGAAAATAGAGCATCGTCGAGCAAAAGCGGTTTAATTATAGACAAAAGCAATTCAGTTGTCTGGTCAATTAAGGACGACGCCTCTCTTTCCTTGGTTTAAATTTGATTGACTAAATGACTGTTAAAATGCTTTACACAGCTTTTATTAGTCTAGAAACAAATTTATTTCCCTTGAAAAATTATTCTTTCAAATGCTAAAAAAACATTGATTTAATATTGTTATCCAAATTTTTTTCTTTCTATTAAATTTTGTTCTAATTTTTATGATCTAAATTTTTTAATTTCAAAACTTTTTGTTTTACAAAATGTGTAAAACTCACCAAAAGTTGTGAAGGCCTTTCGAATAAAAGTAACTGAATATCTATTAGTTCGTCTTAAATAGTCAGCGAGTGTTGACATCGAGAGAGCAAATAGATATTTTCCCAAATATGGCAATGAGGAAAGGAGTCCGTTCTATAGGAAATAAAAAATTAACTAATTATTATTAACATTTTGCTTTTTAAAATCAATTACAAATTTCTATTTTTACTAAAAAAAAAAAAATAATAAAGTAAACAAGCTTCATATTATAAAAAAATTTATATTTTGCAATTTAAAAAAATTTTATAATTATTATGAAAACAACTTTTATAATCTTTATATGTAACAAAATTTATATATACCATAAAAAGAAAAATAATAATTAAAAAAATATTTATGTTTCACGTGAAAAACAATTTTTATTTTTAAATCATGATTGTATATGAAAACATATATTATAATAATAAAAAAAAGAGGTAAAGAAAAATGGTTGTGAAAATTATATGACTGCAAAATAAAAAAAAAAGACAAGATTCATACTCTTGAAAATATGTCAGTGTTATGTACCTCTTTAATGTTGAAATGTAAAATATTCTTCATGTAGGTTGGTAATTGGTTTACAACCGTGAAATAACCAAAGACACTGCAAACGTGAGTGATAACAATTGCCCAGACCGGAGCTGATGTTACAATTGCTTTCCATGGCACGGCATGATGCTGTCAAAAAAAAAAAAAAAAAAATGTAAAATTTTACATAGAAAAAATAATTGCTAGATTGAAGAAATCGTTGTTTTTCTTATTGCAAGAAAACAAGATTTACTTTAATCGGTTTTTAAAAATTAATGTTTAAAGAAACAAATTTTTTTTTGAAAATTCAGCTTATTGCAAGTGATGTTAGATGCAGATATTAACAAATTCAACTGACGGTAGTTGTTACTGACGGTAAAAATAACTGACAGTTGTAGCAACTGACGGTAGTCATAAATTAAAGTTGTTGAGACTGGCGGTAGTAAAAACTAATAGTTGTTGCAACTGACGGTAGTGAGAACTGATAGTTGTTGCAACTGACGGTAAAAACAACTGATAGTTGTTGCAACTGACGGTAAAAACAACAGACAGATGTTGCAACTGATGGTAGAAACACCTAATAGTTATTGCAACTGACGGTAGTAAGAACTGATAGTTGTTGCAATTGACGGTAAAAACAACTGATAGTTGTTGCAACTGACGGTAGTAAAAACTGATAGTTGTTACAACTGCCGGTAAAAACAACTGATAGTTGTTGCAGCTGACGGTAGTTCTAATTTTTATTTTAAAAAAAATTTATTAGTTTTTACTATCATCAGTCTCAAAAACTATAAATGATTAGTACCATCAGCTGCAACAACTGATAGTTGTAACTGCCGTCAGTTGCAACAATTATCAGTTGTTTTTACCGGCGGTTGAGACAACTATCAGTTTGTTTTTACCGTCAGTTGCAACAACTTTTAGTTTTTACTACCGTCAGTTGCAATAACTATTAGGTGTTTCTACCATCAGTTGCAACATCTGTCAGTTGTTTTTACCGTCAGTTGCAATAACTATCAGTTGTTTTTACCGTCAGTTGCAGCAACTATCAGTTGCTATCACCGTCAGTTGTGGCAACTGACAGTAGTAGCAACTGATAGTTGTATTAATAAATTATAGTTGTTGGGACTAACGGTAGTAAAAACTAATAGTTGTTGCAACTGACGGTAGTGAGAACTGATAGTTGCTGCCACTGCCGGTAAAAACAAACTGATAGTTGTTGACTGTAGTTAACTGTAGTTCAAATTTTTTATTTTAAAAAAACTAACAAAATTGACAATTGACGGTATGTGGAACTTACAAGTGACAATTTTTGCAACCAATGATAATTTTAAATGACAGTAATTACAACTGATAAATAGTTGCATCTTATACAGTAAATTCAACTTTTATTTCCTAAACTTAAGAATTAAAAATAAAAGAAACCACAAAAAGGGAGTAATAAAAAATTTAGCAATTCTGTTAAACCTTTTTTGTGGATGTATTTCCAATTGATTCCTCGATGAATCGTCTCTCACTGTCAGAAATTCGTGGATGCTGTGCCGGTGAGTCAAAAACGAGGAAAAACCACGTTAGACTCCAGATAAATCCAATTCCTCCGGTAACATAGAAAACAGATTGCCATCCAAGGGATGCAATGAGATATCCACAAATTGGCATTGTGATAGCAGCACCCAGGGCGGAAGCTAAAAAAAGGGGCGTGTTTTTTTTATAATAATAGCTTTGGAAAGAAGAGAGATAGAGAGAAAGAACTTTAACAGCAGAAACTTGAAACAATTTGCCATTTGGTATATTACATAGGTGCGCGGGTTATTTGTAACGGCTTCTTACACTCATTCTCTGCACTTTATTACGATCCTCATATTCATTAAGAATTTCATACCATATCTCTACCATACCAATATCTTTGGCATAAAAAAAAAATAAAATATATATCAACAAACTGTCCCTGACATGAATTTTTACCTTCCAACACTACAATTTAGTCTCATTAAAATATTTCCACCTTTCAATCATTTTTTTTTTTTTTTTTAATCCAACAATTCGTACAGAGTATAAATTAGAAATGATAAAGAAGATAATAAAAGAGATAATAAAACCAGAAGCTGAATATTTAATACTAACTCGTATTCAATGAACTATAATTAAATAAACCCATGACTAAATCATTTGTGCTTGAATGATTTATAGTCAAATAATGTTTAGTTTCATTTTCTAATGTACTACAAACTACGTGATTGATATAAAGAAAATATTTTTTACCCTCAAGGTTAAAGAACTTGGACTTATATATAATTTTTTTTTTTTTTTTTTGAAGAAAAAGAAAAAATAGCACGTGGATCTTATTTATTGTGTTTATAAAACATTATTATAAAATACCAAGTTATCGAATGGCATTGTTCTCAAATATATATATATATATATATATATATATATATATATATATATATATATATATATATATATATATATACATAAAATGTTTTATATAAGGAGTTAATTATCTCAATTATAGCACTAATAATTAATCATCGAACAAAGTTAACATTAATGGAATTTTTACTGCTGATACGCACGTCTCTGTATGTCAGACGTCAGTATTAATGATAATTCAAATCATTCCCTTACCCATCATATTCGATACGAATTTGCTGCGCTCATTTGGTGGAATCCAAACAGCTGTCATTGGATGAATTGCTGGCCACGTGGCACCCTGTAATTCATTAAAATCAATTAATTAAGATCATTATTTAAATAATTAACGTACAGCCGGAAAATTAAAAATATATCGATGATAATACAAGAATAATTTGTTAAATTTTCCATTTACTATTTTATCATTAATTTTTCTTTCTGTAATCAAACTATACTCCTTTATCAGTTTAAAATTAAATTATTCAAGTAAAAAAAAATTTTTTGTTTATGCTTTTTTCTCTTCTTGGAATTGAAAGAGAAATTTTCTAAATGATTTTTTTTTTTTTTTTTGCAATAAAAATAATAATGTTTTTACCAGAAAGAATCCTAAAAGTACTCGTAAGGCAGCGACAAAGGCAAAACCAAGTGATGCCGCTCCCGGTGTCAATAGTGTAATTAAACTAGAAAATAGCATACTATATCCAAAAACTCTTCTAGTACCAAAAAGTTCAGCCATTCTACCGCCTGGTACTTCTGTCAAAATATAACCGGCAAAAAAACTACCGAATATCCAATTTTGCTCGTATTCATTCCAATGATATTTCGTTTGTTCTCTTCCTTCCTGAAAGTGTCATTTTTTATAGTTAAATAAAAAAAAGAGAGAAAAAAACATAAAACAAATAACAAAAATACTTACTAACTGACTAGGAGTTTCGTAAGTAGAATTAATTTTTGGAATGTTGACAGTATTATTAAATGTATTAACATTTTCTAGCGTTGTATTGGAATGTGATTTATTTGTAGTTGGATAAACCATAGCGACCATGGCAATTGTCAAATTTACTCGAAGCATGTAGTTGATCATAAATCCAAATATCACCATTATATTTAAAACCTGACGACATGATAGCCCTCCTAAAAACAAAAAGAAAAAATTGCAATTATATTGATGATTCAATTTGCCGGTAGTTATAGCTAATGATTGTTTTAACTGATGGTAATTACATGTGACAGTAGTAACGACTCTCACTTGTTGCAACTGACGGTAGAAACAACTAATAGTTGTTGCAACTGACGGTAGTAAAGACTGATAGTTCTTGCAACTGACGGTAGTAAAGACTGATAGTTCTTGCAACTGACGGTAGTTACAACTGTCAGTTGTTGTAACTGACAGTAGAAACAACTGATAGTTGTTGTAACTGACAGTATAGTAATAAGTTATAATTGTTGGGACTGACAGTAGTTACAACTGTTGGTTTTTGTAACTGACGGTAGAAACAACTGATAGTTGTTGCAGCAGACGATAGATACAACTACCAGTTGTTGCAACTGATGGTAGTTACAACTACCAGTTGTTGTAATTAACGGTAGTTATAGTTGTTGCAACTGACGGTAGTAAAAATTATAATTGTTGGGACGGACGGTAGTTACAACTGTCAGTTGTTGTAACTGACGGTAGTAATAAATAATATTTTTTGGGAGTGACGGTAGAAACAACTGACAGTTGTTGCAACTAACGATAGTAATAAATTATAGTTGTTGTAACTGACAGTAGAAACAATTGATAGTTGTTGCAACTGACAGTATAGTAATAAGTTATAGTTGTTGGGACTGACGGTAGTTACAACTGTTGGTTGTTGTATCTGACGGTAGAAATAACTGATAGTTGTTGCAACTGATGGTAGTTACAACTATCAGTTGTTGCAACTGTCGATAGTAATAAATTATATTTGTTGGGACTGACGGTAGTTACAACTGTCAGTTGTTGTAACTGACGGTAGTAATAAATAATATTTTTGGAACTGACGGTAGAAACAACTGATAGTTGTTGCAACTGACGGTAGTAAGAACTATTAGTAGTTAAAACTCACGGTAGAAACAACTGACGGCAGTTACAACTGTTGGTTGTTGTATCTGACGGTAGAAACAACTGATGGTTGTTGCAGCAGACGATAGATACAACTACCAGTTGTTGCAACTGATGGTAGTTACAACTATCAGTTGTTGTAACTAACGTCAGTAATAAATTGTAGTTGTTGGGACTGACGGTAGTTACAACTGTTGATTGTTGTAACTGACGGTGGAAGCAACTGACGGTAGTTTAACGAAAAAATGCAAATAAAAAAAAAAGAAATGTTGAGTAGAAAATTTTTTGAAGGTCCTAGTGTTTTAAATTTTTTAATTCTCGATAACTTTTTTTTAATCTTTTGAAAACTACATATAAATTATTACTCTTTTTGTTTTTGAACTTTGGATGGTACGATGTAATTATCAAGCATTGAAGAATATCTAATAGACCTGGGTCAATCTTGTTCGCCCTCGGAATCAAAATCTTTATCATTTATAATGACTTGATTACTAAGTTATAGACACTAATTTTTATTTTAGAAATTTAATCTTATAAATTATCGTGGAAAAATTAGAAAAAAAATATATATTTTATAAATATTTTATATAATATTAAATATTATTTAATATAATATTTTATATAAATTAATTTTTTTTTGTTCTATCATTTTTTCTTTCATAATTGCGATTATCAATTTTTTTCCCCTATATTTCTATGAGGAAAGTTTATTATGTAATTGAATTTTAGTAGCATTTTAAGAAAACATTTTTCATTTTACATAAAAATAATGTAAAATATAATAATTCTGAGAAATCATAAACCTATTATTATGATTTTTGATTGTAAAAAATGGGTAATTATTTAGAAAAATAATGGTTATTTCTTCTCTGAAAATCATTTTTTTAAAAAATAATTTAATAAATTAATTAAAAGCAAATAAATTGATTAAAAAGTACAAAGAACCACAAATGAAATTGAAATAAACATAATGACTCATTTATATTTTACTAATGTTTGTGAAACCCAGAGTACGCGACGTGTTGCAATTATTTTGGGTTTTTGCCAAAGTGTGACATCAATGAACACTAAAAAAGTACTTATGTACTTAAATTTTTTTTTTTTTTTTAGTAGTTTATGAATAAAAAATACACATAGAATCTTACATAACGAATGAAAAATAATTCAAAAAAAAAATTTCAATATTTTATATAATAAATATACCATTATAATTATGAAAATTAAATCAATTAGCATTAATGAACATTAAATGAAGTAAATTTAATTAGTTATAATTAGCCGCATATTTTTAATAATTATAATAATTATACATTTAATGAGAAACAATTTTTTTTAAAGACAATTTGTTAAAATATGGTTTTTAAAAAAGGTATTAAAAATAAAAAAATAAATAAAAAAAAACTATTTCTAATGACTATTGAAAATTGAAAATATATACAGTAGACAGTCTGTAGTTTTTGCTAACGTCAAAGAATCTATAAATAGTTGCGATCCGCTACCTAGGCCATTAATACATATTGTTAGCCTTCGCCTTGCTCTGTACCTCAGCAATGATACTGAATGCATTTCATTGAATAATAAATAACAGAGAGATTAATTGTTATTAAATGAGCTGGGAATTCTGAACGATTATACCACTCAAATTCCCGGATATTGTACAAATTACATAACAACAAAAAACTTTTTTTTTACAATAGAGAGTTGCAAGTGTTATTTACATTAAAAGAAAAATAGTTAAAAAACTAAATAATAATAATAATAATAATAATAATAAATATTGTGATCCTAGCATCAGCCTTAGAAATAATTTTTAATATAGAAAATTTTTTGTAAAATAGTTTTTTTTAACTAATGTTAATTAATATTTTTTAATTAATTTGTTATAAACAAATTGTTTTAATAATTTGTGCAAAAAAATTTTTTCTGTAAAAAATTATTTCTGTTACTAATTGCTAGGTTCCCAAAAATAATTAATTTAATTATAAATTAAAATTAAACATTTTTAATAAATTTTTGCAGTGTTTTATTAAAAATAAAGTTGACGTCATTTTTTTTACTAAAAAAAATTGAATTAGTATTAATTTTATAACGATTATTAATAAATTTTCTTGTTTTTCCCATTCTTTTCCAAAATATAATTAATTATTTTTCCTCCTATTAATAAGGAAAGTTTGTTAAGTTATTAAAAAATTTACCATCATTTCACAATATAAATATTTTCCTTTTACAATAAATAAAATTTAAAAATATATTTCATTATTTCTAATGCAATCATCTAGTAAATTTTCATAAGATTTATTTTTCATTCGAATTTATAATTAAATTTTTTGAAATTTTTATTCATAATTTTTTTTTTTTTTTTTTACAAATTTAAATAACGGAAAAAAATTATTACAGATTCAAATTGATTTATTAAATGTAAAAAAAAAATTTATTTCGTACAATGTTTATATATTTGTTGTCAATATTTAATCCAGATTATTTTGCGTCGTACTTTGTCTATATAATAGAGAATAATGATTTGCAAACATAATTTAAACAGACAATATTATGTCATTCCAGCATCAGAAAGTATCAATTAAAATCAACTGTCTTATCTAATCATTATCATGACAATGTTTATTACAATCTTATGGAAATTTAATGTTTCATTTAATAAATATTCGGCTAGGTGGAAATTCTGTAAATAAAAAATTTTCACAGAAAATTAAAAGGCATTAAAATAAGCAGCAACGCTTATTATTTTAATCCAATTTTTCTTATTTTAATTCATTTTGATATTAAAATAAGCAAAATTGGATTAAAATAAAAAGCATTGCAGCTTATTTTAATGCCTTTTAATTTTCTGTGTTTCTTAATTTAAATCCAGTTAAATAAAAATTGTCCAAGATGAAAATTTTACTATTACTAATTGAACTTTAGTAAAAAAATATTACCAAACCAAATAGTAATATTTTACTAAAAATTTATACTAATTTGAATTACAAAGTAGTTATTCTGTTTTTTTTTGGATATGACAGAAATTCATAAATTTTTGCATTCTTTTAACGATGTAAACGGATTTTTATTATTATTATTATTATTATTATTATATAATATTATACTGTCTCCAAAGTGTCAGCAAAATTTTTTCATGAGTCACAAAGTTAATGACACACGGTCAAGGTTTTATTAAAAAGTTGCAAGTGTGACAAGCCTCAATTTTTCATTGGCTCTGAATTTGTAATCAAAGTCGTCGTAAGTGACGTATATTTATTATTTATAGAATTGATAAATGTTACGCCAAATTATAAAACAACAATATATATATATATATATATATATATATATATATATATGTACAAGTGTGTGTCGTAATTTTAATCGAGCCTACAAATTTGCGCTTGATTATTAATTCAAACAATAGTATATACATATACGCACATATTGTATATATATATATGTAAACAAGTAATTTTCAAATGGATTGCATTATCAGTTACTCATCTCGATAATATAAATGAATCACGTCATTTGTTTAATCAAGGTCATGATCTTGGATGTTCGCGCACGTTCCTATATTAGAGGTCATCATCTATATATTACAAAAAAAAGAAGAAAAAGAAGAACGATCTAAAGATTAATTGATCAGAGGAAAAAAATGTTGCAAACTTTTTTCAAAATTGCGTGTAGCATATTTGCTCTACAAAATTTTAGACTTTGCTTCATTTATTATGAAATACTTGTGAAGTAATTAACATATATACATCAAGTATATTATTATCATTGAGAGAGCAATGATTCGTTCTTTTTTTTCCCTTCTTCTTCATCTTCTTTCATTTGTTTTGATTGCAAGTAAACAAGTGTCATTATAAGCATTTAGATATTTTTAGCTTAAACTGTTATTTTTAATTTCAGATTAGTGATATTTAAAAATTAATTTTTTCTAATTTTTTTTTTTAAAGTGATTGTCGCAATTTTATCAGCCGAAACTACCGTTCATTGAATAACAGTATTTACCGTCAATTAATAACGGATATTTTTAAATATATATACCTAAAAATTTGTA